AGAATGTTTACATAATAAACAGTTTTTCTCTGGCATATGGCAGGAGAAATTAGAGATCTGTAGTATGAGAATGGCTAGGTGCGCCACTGGGAAGAGTCACCTCTGGAAATGGGAAGCTGCCTTGGTCTTACCACCACCTGAGTTGGAATCTGCCCATACCATACCTGCATGAGTTTGAAGTGAATTCTAGCCCTCACCACTGACAATCTAATTTTGCCTTATGATACCCTGAGTCAAGAACCAAACCAAGTCTCATTGGATTCTGCCCTGCGGGATTATAATAATGTAAGCTACTACATTTGTTTTGAAATTTGATATATAGCAAGAGAAAAAAAAAAAAAACCAACACACAGATATTGTTCTTTACTGGTCTTATTTTTGCTATAAAATATGGAGGAACATATTCAATAATAAAGGTAACAACTTACCCTTCTAATTGCTAGTTATGAGAAAAGCTATACTTATGATTTTCTATTGTTCTGTAAAAATATCAGTAAGATAAATTCCAAAAGATAGATTTGCTGGTTGAAACAATAAATGCAGTAGAAAATTTAAAATTGCAAGAACTAAAATGGTTGTAACCAACTCACATCTCACACCAGATGAGAGGGACTCTCCTTGTCTACAACCTTGAACCACTGGATTCCATCAATTTTGTGAAATTTCTGAGAGTGTGCCAGGTTACTGATACCATCTCACTTTCCAAGTTCAAGTGTCTCTTATGATTGCAATGAATCACCGTTTCATACACTTTGTTGGCCATATAAATTTCTGTTTGAGTGACATTCCATTTACTAATTTTACCCATTTCTCTCCTGGTCATTGACAATTTTCATATCAATTATAAGCTTTTTGTGCATTAAAGTAATCAGATGTTTGTTAGTTATTGCTTAAAAATATTTTTTCGTACTTTGCTTTTGATTTTGCTTATTACACAGACATTTTCCTTTTAAGCAAGACCACTGGTCTTTTACCTTGGGGCTTCTGGATTACATGCTCCTGGAAGTAGGAGCCTGTGGTTTTTTCTTCTTGTTTAAAAGGACAGTTCTGTTTACTTTCTGGAATCCCTAGTTGTCCACAAATACTACATCATTTGTAAAGATAAATGTGCCTGAACACTCTACCAAAATTTTTCTCTCCTCAAAGCACTGCTGACACATCTATCAAGAAGTATGTTAGTTTTCTCATCTCTAGCGATCATTTGATGGCCATAAATTCAGGTCACTGATGAGTGGTCTGACTCACACAACCCCTAAGAAAAACAGAAAGTGTAACTTTTATCTTTTAGCTCAGTATGCACTGAGAAACAGCTGTGTTCTCTATCTTATTTTAAGGGAGACGCCTAGGACTCCTCTCCTGACATTCTGTGTATCAAACACTCCACAGAGAAATAAAGCAACAAGCAGGAAAACATAAGCAGCATAGTGTGGGAAGGCATTTTACATTATCAAGACATGAGGACTGGTTCTCCACTTAATTTATATTTTCTACTTTTTTACACAGAAACAAGACTCTACCAGACTGTGCTAAATGCGATTTCTCACAAAAAGTCTGACAGTTTCACCACTTCTGAGTAAATAACAACCTGTTGACTCTATAACATAAGAAAAAATATTCTCAGAATTTTAAAGACAGGCTTTTCTCTGCGCACTCCTCTGATTAAATACTAAAATTGTAGTTGAAGGGTAAAAAAAATTCAAGTGTGCACAGAGAAAGGGAAAAATAATTAAAAGGATCATTAAAATCTTAACAACATTTTCTCTAATCTCTATATTAGAACTAAAGAAAAATCACAACAATAACTGATTAATCGGCAGGCCCATAAAGTATGGTGTAATTGCTACAAACATACACAAAGAGGAGTAGGATTAAATTTAAAATTCAAATAGTAGTTAACTACTGAATTATATGTAAGGCTATCAGTCATCATTCATCTCAGCCCCAGTATAATATGTGGCATTATGGTTGAGAAATTTAAAGAAATAAAGCATAATTCCAGTTTTCAACAAGGTATTTTGGTCTGTCATAATCCTCTATCAGCCTTTACAGTAAGGATGTAATGCAAACCTTCAAAATCTAAATGAAAGAATACACAGTTGTAAGCTCATCATGCAGTTTGGAAATACAATATTATTAACAGTTGACCTGTCTCCCCCCAGGTACAAGGTCTTGAAATTTGGCTTTAAAATTACTACTTAATTTTAGACTCTTACTGCAGAGAAGTATGTACACATAACCACACCTGTGTGTGAGCTCCCCAAACAAAATATCCTACGTAGCCTTGTGTCAACTTGATCTGAATGGTTTAAGAAATACTGTCTTAACAACAGTGTTCATTTTGTTGCTCAACATTCTCCCTGAATTGCTCCCAGATAGATATGAGCACTCCTAGGTCATTTGGTTGCTGTGTGCACAGCATGTTGTGGATGACTAAGGACAATTCAATGGTCCATTTTGCAACAGGTAGGTATCTATTATAGGTGGCTTCCAGCATTTAGCTATCACAAACAGGTCGCCATGAACAGTTTAGAACATGCCTTCTCATATCTGTGTGTAAGACTTTTTCCAAAATTGTACTTGGAAGTTGCACATCTAGATTTTAGTGGTCTTTGTACAATACCAAAATTTTATCAACTTACCTTTCACCTTTTTTACTTTACCACATTTTTATGTGTTACCATGGGGAAAATAAAATTTCACTCCAAAGGGGCAAATACCCGTCTCCCATTTTCTGTCCACAAATATGTAACAGATATCAAGTTGAGAGTTCCCTGAGATCAAGCACTGCCTTCTGGAGAAGACTGATAGCCTACCCTGAAACATGAAATCGACACCAGCTGACAGTCCATCAATGTCAAATTAGAGTTTTCACAAGAGCCCAGCAGAGCTAGGGTTTTACAGCTCTTTCTTTCAACTCCTCACTAGCCAAAATACTAAAGGCATCTTCCTACCAATCTTCCTCAACATCCTTGAATCAAAACTCCTTCTATGCTCTAACTTTCATATCTCTTGTCTGCCTTTATGTTCCCCATACAATCAAGCATATACAGTTCATACAGTTCCACATCCTGGAATTCCCATTTTCTCACTCTAACATCTTTGAACATCATAGGCCCAAGTCTTGCCCATCTTTCAACATCTTAATCAAGTACCTCCTTCAAATTCTTCCAGACTTTCCTGATTAGAATTAACCTTTCTCTTTTCTGCCCCATCTTGAATAGTATGTAAAAAACAAAGTAAAACAGGCCCTCCCTGGTGGTGCAGTGGGTTAAAGCACAGCACTGAGAAGCTAAAGCCGCTTCCGCATGAGTTCGATTCCTGCCTGCCCCGGAGGTGACCACATGGTGCGGCAGACCTCTCCTGACCCGCCCGCTGCTCCCCTCAGCAGTGTACTTCGTCGATCTGCCTGTTCTGCTCCCCACTCTGTCTCTGGTGAAGCCTCTCACTGCCCCTGAGCCTCTGGCCTGTACCCCAGTTCCATATGTACAAATAAATAAATCTTTAAAAAAAACAACAAAGTAAAACAAAACACAGAACGTATACAAGCCAGCCTTCTTGTGCAGTTTTGAAATATGGCTGTACTTTCCTTATAATTAGTACCTAAGGGCAAATGCTTCATCTCTAATTTTTTCATCATCCCTACACAGGTTATGGAAGTAATATATGAGTTATATAGGCCACAGCCAGAAAAAACTGCAGACACGCTCTTATACATGTACATATGAACACCTGCTTTAGAGTGTGAAAGCAGCCTTGTTTGTAACATGTGTGTGTGCATGTGTATAAAATATAATATATATAAATAGAATATACATATATAATATATAAATATAGTATATTATAATGTAATGTTATGTAATGTATATATAATAGGTAAGTTCAATACTAGGAACAAAATGCTAAATGATTTTGATGGCGTTTAGGACAGGCTACGTATGGCTCTTTTGGCATATTGTTTACCTGAAGGAATCAGAATTAACAAGGACAGGAGGAACTTTGTTTTTTTTTTTAAGATTTATTTATTTATTCATACAGAATTGGGGTACAGGCCAGAGATGCGGAGGGTGAGAGAATTCACCAGGGACAGAGTGGGGAGCAGAACAGGCACATCAAGGAAGTACACTGCTGAGGGGAGCAGCAGGCAGGTCAGAAGAGGTCTGCCACGCCCTGTGGTCACCTGTGGGGCAGGCGGGGATCAAACTCATGCAGAAGCGGCTTAAGGTTCTTAGTGCTGTGCTTTAACCCGCTGCGCCACCAAGGAGGGCCAGGAGGGACTTTTTGACTCTTTCCTGAAGCAGTCATTAAAGCCTCATCTGAGAGATGGATTCCCTAAACCAGAGAGGACATCTCCAAAGATAAGGGGTACCGAAGAAGTCTGAGTGAATAGGTCTTGCTGATTTTCTCCAGTTTCCTACACCCAATTCATTTTTGTCTTATCTTTGCACAACTGTTCACACTTTATCACCTCTAGTATAAAGCACTCAGCTTTACCAGCTGCTTTGGGTTTTCACTTTTTTATGAAGGCTCCCGAGTCCCTTTGTGAAAGTTTATATTCAATACATTTGTATGTTTTTCTCTTAACCCAGTTTTGTTACAATGGTCCCAGTGGAGGACACAGAGGAAAAAGAAGAAAAAAGAAAATGTTTCATTCCCTACAATTCTTAACATCAATCCTCTGTAAGTGACTATAAGGGCTGCATTTCCCAAAGACAATCCTACATGGAAATGTATTTTGCATCCACCAAAATTTTTTAAATGGGGAAAAATATGAGCTTTTCAAAAATATATAGGTCATGTCCATAATCTCAGAGGAATTCTTGATTTTGAGCACTCAAAGAGAATATAGTGTGGACCAACTTATCAGAAAGAACAAGTTAATGACAAAAACAGGAAAACCAACATAAAACCTTATGAAGGTATGTCTCAATTTCAGTCCGTCCATATTATTCAATAAACTATCAGAAAAAGAAGTTGAAGAAAATTCAAGAAAGGGTGATTACCTGCATGAGCAGAGAGGGGTGAGTGTGGGCGAGGCAATGCCGGTGACTGCCCATTGCCTATCAAGCTCTTCCGGTTGCTTGTTCGGCAACTGTCAGAAGGAAAGTAAAAACAGTTTGAATTGAGAATACAACAATAATGTTCAAATATGTGCAATCCAGGCATATACTAGGTTGGACAAACTACCTGCTCATGCAATTGCTATCATTTTTTTTTTTTTTCAAGATACTATGCAGTTCACTAATGGTTGAGGGTAGTTGCCTGTTTTATATCAGAAAATATTTTCACATAGTTAACACCATCAATATTCCTCACCACCAGTGAAGCTATAATCAAATGAATTCTTTCAGCTCTTGACTATAAATATGTGACATGACACACATACAAGTGATAAATTAAGAATTCAAATCAGCTAACCACAGGTAGCATCTTTGTTGACATGAAATTTCTAATACAAAATTACATGCTACGAAGCACAATGACATTAATCTTACAATGATGCACTAATTAAAAATCTAATTATTTAGACACATTTCCTATTTGTGCCTTTTGTCAATAGAACTGTTGATGCCTAAGATAAATGTAGGTTCACTACTCATTCATTTTTCATTTTGTATTCTGCATTCAAGTCTTCATTAAGTTAAATATTTTGGCATGAGAAAAACAGATTCCAGTTTATGTCAAAATAATAATAGCAAAGGCTCCGTTTCACAGGCATGCTACCTATAGGTTTATGATGGTTTCAGAGAGAAGAAATAATCACTGCACAAGGGTACAGGCAACTATTTACTTTTCCTGTCTCTGCCAGTAGAAATCTACAAAATGGTGAATTTGATTCCACAGGAACGTTCACAAGCCTCAAAGGTTAAGACCCATACTGAAGATGAAGTAGACTAACTTATTCTCGTATACAGACTGGCACTTCAATCTCTATTGTCACACAGTTGTTAGAACAGGATAATAAAAACCAGCAGGTGACCTTGTTAATTCACCTCAATCTAATAAAGCTCACAATCCATAAGGGGGCTGCCCATTACCACTCAAAAAGATCTACTGTAATGTCTTAATTCACCTCTGCATCGGAGGTACTTGGAATAGGAATTTTCACCTGACTTCGAAAGCAGGTAGATATACCTGAGAATCTATAAAATATTTGACAGGAGTCTTTCTAAATAATCAAATAACATATTTCAAAATCAAAACCAGTTCAGCAACAGTGACCTGGGAGACAAGCCTCTCTCCTAGATATTTGCTGCTTATTATAATTTGTCAACATTCCCGTATTTATAATTTCTTAAGGTCAGGCTGCATCATTTTATTTTCCTTACTGGAGCAATCAACATCCCCTAGCATTATCTGTGAGTTTAATTAAGAACATGTTTACTCAGCCTTAAATAAGTTGTTGAATAAGAATAGACCCTTGATACTTAATTATGAAGGTGGATTATGGTATTGTCAACTCATCCGTCAAGAATAGTATGCAACTTATTAAATTCACAATCTGAAAGCCTGATTACTTTAAAAAGATACCCTATATGTATTTAGTGTGAATCCAAATTAACGTCTTCTTTCATTTCAGCATAGGAATGTTAAATATACCAACTTGCTGATGTTAATAAAATATATTAGAAATGACAGATTTATACCCTGGAAACCTCAACAAACTTACTTGTTAATTTTACCAAATTAACTGAAATATAGGTTAACTATCATAAAAGGTTATTTGCGTATTTTTACATTCAGTGTTTGATCTAAATCATTATGACGATTTTCTCAAGTTAATTATTAATGCTTATATATGTAAATCAAATGAATATGAAATGTGTATTGATAAAATTAGTGATCTAACAAATATCTTGACTAGGGTATCAGTAAAATGTTTACTTAAAGATAAAATTTAGATACTATTTCTAAAGGAAGTTTAAAAAAATTAATTTTGCTAAGAAACACATAGAATGACTAGTAACTCCATAACAAGCAAAAATAAATAGCCAATAATTTAGATTTAAAACAAAGAAATATATAAATAAAATACTTTCTCACAGTATCATGATTTAAAATCTACCCAAAAGTAGATTTAGAAGGGACTGATTTTAAATATATGATTTAAAAATTGTGAAAAAGAAGGGAATATCTTTGTTTGGTCAATATAAATAAGCTTGTGTTACATTCACCCTGTGCTTTCCTACTCTCTGCAATGATTTGTAATCTTCACAATTAGATGATTATGAATGCAATTTAGAGTGAATCAAGACACAGGAGACTTCAGCCATGACGATGTGACGAGTTAAAATTAGTTAAAAACATTGCATAAAATTGCATAAAATGTTAAATACTTTGCATAAATCCTTAAATAACTGGAGGCTTATCTTGTTGACAAATGCTAAGACCAAAGTACAGTAGGTAGCTGAAAGTGTCTTTTCTAGCCTCTCTATGGACCTTCAGCTTGAAGGTATTAAAATCCAACAGACTTGGAACTATTTTCAATTTCAATAATCAAATAGGAAGCTATTAGACATGAAAGGCATCTCATTATGGCAAAACCAAACTTTTAAAAATACAGGTAAAGACAAAGGAATTTTACAGGTCTGTACAACATAAATCTGTATGTACATTCAGCAAGTAAGGTTTTGGTCTCACACATGAATTAATTTGATGCTAACATTCTTAAGGGTAAAGGGGAATTTATACTGTATTTAAACCCCCAAACCTACATCTTGGCTATATTCCAGTACCTCACTATGATAGTCTGTAGTAACTTTCCAAAGTGGGGTGTGCACTTCACTTCCAATCAGTACTATTTGCCTCTGGTGTCTGAGACTTACCTAATCTTATTGCTGTAGGTATCTGTTTTCCCAAAGAAATGAATTAAAATCCACATTTAATTCCACAGTAACAAAGCTGCTAATGGGCAGGACCTGAGCATATTCACTACCTAAACTACTTAAGACCTGGTGCTGCCCACACTAATCATGACACTGAGACAAATTGCTGAACTGACCTCCCTTGTCATTACTTAGTCGTACAGGTATCATATACTTTTGTGCAAGTAAAAGGAGAAGTTTACGGCATTCAAGGAGGAGGCAGTCCCTACGTGCTGGTGATGACCCCAAATGCACTTAACTCATAGAATGATGAAACAGCACAAACATCTTAAACGTTCAGTCTTAGGGACACAGGTACATGATTGCAAAAATGAAACTGAAGAATAGTTATGAACTTGAGCTACCAGTGTTCAATTCCCAAATGCACTGTTTCACTCTTTAGCAAGAAACAGAAACCATTCATCCTGTCTTGGCTTCTAGAATCTAGAAGTCAAACACAGGAATATCCATGTCCCACAAAGCACCTCCACTTCCTGAGTTCTCCAGGCAAAACACATGAGGAACTTTGTGGACAAAGTGCTCAGTTTGTTCTCTGAATCTGGCACAATGGCAGAGTCAATATTCTCTGCATGCAAAAATTGAATTTTACCTGAGAAGACAGACATATACAACCTGACATCAAAGTGAAGATAAACACTGAATTAAGGCAGAGGCTGATGAAGCCAACTAAACATTTCATTTTGCTCACTGGAAAGATCCACACAAAGACAGGTAAGAGACAGGGAAAGAGAGCTCTTGTGCCCCCCCCACACACACACCCTGCCAATACAATACCACCTCCATCACCAACACTATCCAAATAAATGCTGTAGATGCTGGGGATCGGGAAAGGAGAAGAATGGAAAAGACAATGACAATAAATTTGCGTCAGTAGGGCTGGCTGTCCCCTGGGGGCTGGGAGGCTAGATAGGCAGGGACAGCACTGAGTAAGAACCTCACAGCTGGCTGGGCATTTGGGTGGAGATGCTTAGAGTGACATGAGACTACCACAGGAAGTATTTTGTCTTCATGCTTTTTGGCTCAGACAGGTACTGTGAAGATTGAACAGGGACCCACACCTGCCCCCTGAGCTCACTGTTCCTATTCCCTAAAACAGGTTGTCAAGGAGCTTCTCAATTGTCTGATTACTGTGCAGAACACCTTCTATTTGCTAGGAAAATAGAGGCCAATCATGAGTTTCATCATCTATGTGAAACCCGACTCGTTATAAGGGACAAGGAGGAATGAGCCACTAAGACAAAGCAAGGGAGCAGGGTTACCTCTGTTGGATAAAACCACCAATATTTACCTTCTGCCTATGTGGGCCATAGGTTCAGAGCTCCACATACAGGATTTGGTGGTAAAATTGGTGGTAAAAGTCTCACACTTGGACCTGTCACATCTTTCTAGGCAGAATCTGTTAATTATGCTGTAACAGGACTGTAGAAACCATGGGGACCATTAGGCTCTGATCTTTCTCAATTGTCTGAGTAGGTGAAATCTAGATTAGTTTTAAATTACATCATTTTGAGACATGAATACTGATCATGTCTGATCGTGACAAGACAAGCTAAGGAAGGGAAACCCCAACAGTGTGGTAATTTCTAATACAACTGACTCGAAAGGTCAACACTCAGTGTGATACGTGACAGACCAGCGGGGGAAAGTGGTGAGAATACAGTAAGCTTCCTAAGAAGAGATCCAGAGGTTCAAGAAATAATTAAATTACAGCTAGGCTATAGCTTATTGATCCATCTGCATGAAAAATTTGATAAATTCTCACAGAAGACCAATTACAAAGCAAAGCTTTCTGGATGTAAACTCCTGCTAATTATTTATTACAATTTTCATAGAATCTGGGTTTCTGAATATACCTTAAAAAAGGAGAAAGGCTGAAGCAGTCATTTAGAAATGACCAGAAGGTAGAAATTTTCTAGTGAATGCCATATTGCTAATAAATGTCATAAAAGACCCTGTTTCCTGATTTTTTCAAGGAAGGGCTTCAATCAAATGAGAGAAACAGTCACACTTTTTTTTTTTTTTTTAGTCTACACTTAGCCAACTCCATGGATTAGCCCAGCTTCTCAAGTTTTTTTTTTTTTTTTTAGTCTTAGAAATTTTAAAAAGATAGAAAGATAATTCAACAATTCCCACCCTCTGGAATAAGTGGTATCATTTTGTCATATTTGTTCCCAATCATTTAAAAAAATAGAAATTCATTACAGAT